GCTTTGTTAGTACAAGAGGGAATAAATGTAATAGCAAGAAATGATTTCGATCAAATGATGTAGAAGTACATGGATAAAAAGGTAAGAAATAAAGGGGAAGACGACACTGATAGGAGCAGTCTATAGGTCCCTAAACAGTAGCTTTTCTGTAGGACAGAGAATAAATCAGAAGATAACAAGGGGATAGCACAGAGGCTTTAATCACAGGTGACTTTAATCTTCATATTGCTAAATCAAATTGGTAGAGGTAACCATGAAGAAAGTGCATTCGGGACAGTTTCCCGGAATGATATGTTCAATAATAATGAGGTATCAGGTTATTTTGGATCTGGTAATGTATACTTAGGTAGGTTTCATAAATGTTCTCAGAATACAAAAGATACCCCAGGAAACAGTGACCACAACATGGTAGAACTTGGCATTCAATTTGAGACTGAGAAATATGGGTCAGAAAAAAAAAACGGCAAAATTCAAGCAAGGGCAATTACATAGGGATGAGGGCAGATGAGTGGATGGAAGAGGAGTTCAGCAGAAAAATGACGAACAAAACAAAAAAAGCCTTAAGAAAATAGCTCATGACTGATAGTAAAGAAATATCTCAGTGAAGAATGAGGATACTAGCATAGCTACAGTTAAGAGAGGAACTTAAGGATATTGTCATCATTACCTCTCACGAGTGAGCCTGATTGTCCACCAAGCTCATCCTTAGGTTTCTGAAGATGTTCACAGATTGTATGCGATGTTTAGCCTTTGAGAGATAGCTTCCCAGGTAAGGGAAATGTTCCATGTTTCGAAGGATTTCTCCACTGATCTTAATAGAGGTATTATGGACTAGAGCCTGGGATAGATTTGTAAAGGATTTGAATTGTCTTCAGGTTGAGGCTAAGGCTAAGACTAACTATTGCAAAAAGCATTGAGAGGCTTGAAGAATCTCTTCCAAGAGAAGAGAAATGACTTCCATCCACATACTGAAGTTCCACAAGCGAAGTCAGAATTACTTTATTCATGGTTGAATTCCAAGTTTGGAAACAGAAACCGGTCATGCAAGGCATGAAAAACATTTTAATAAGTGGGTTTAGTATTAAACAAACCTAGCTTTTCCCTGCATCCTGTGGACAATTCCCACACCACTGGCAAATTTGTTCTTGCTAAGATGAAGAACGGTGACGATGATAATGGAGAAAAAGGTGGGGGCAATGACACATCCCTGCTTGACCTTAAAGCATTTGATCAGGCAGCAAAAGGATGTCGTTGAATTTCCCTAAACAGAAAACCTTTGACAGGGTCTTCCATAGCGTAAGGATAGTTATCACATTGTTTTTTTTCTTCTAATGTGGCAAAAGATTAATGGTAAATGAGGATAGAGAATGATTTAAAAACCCAAGAAAAGATGACCAAAACAAAAAAAGGACAAACTAGCAATTATTATAAAAACAAAAAAAAGAGCATATTTCAAAGGAACAGAATAACAATATGAGATAACAAGGTGTAGAGCTGGATGAACACAGCAGGCCAAGCAGCATCAGAGGAGCAGGAAAGCTGACGTTTCAGGCCTAGACCCTTCTTCAGAAATGGGGGAGGAGAACGGGGTTCTGAAATAAATAGGGAGAGGGGGGAGGCGGGTAGAAGATGGATAGAAGAGAAGATAGATGGAGAGGAGACAGACAGATCAAAGAGGCGGGGTTGGAGCCAGTAAAGGTGAGTGTAGGTGGGGAGTTAGGGAGAGGATAGGTCAGTCCAGGGAGGACGGACAGGTCAAGGGGGCGGGATGAGGCTAGTAGGTAGGAGATGGGGGTGGGGCTTGAGGTGGGAGGAGGGGATAGGTGGGAGGAAGGACAGGTTAGGGAGGCAGGGACAAGCTGGGCTGGTTTTGGGATGTGGTAGGGGGAGGGGAGATTTTGAAGCTTGTGAAGTCCACATTGATACCATTGGGCTGCAGGGTTCCCAAGCGGAATATGAGGTGCTGTTCCTGCAACCTTCAGGTGGCATTGTTGTGGCACTGCAGGAGGCCCAGGATGGACATTTCCTACTATCCCAGAATAACAATGTGATTATTGGTCTCTTAAATAATATGCCTGGGGATATAATAACAGGGAATCAGGAAATAGCAAAATTGAATAAATACTTTGCATTGGTCATGTGGTAGAATATACTGACAGAATTTCCAATATATTGAATAATCAAGGGGTGAAATTTGGTTGGGTTGGGGGGGCTGGGTACAGGAGTAAATAAAATCACTGGAGGAAAAAAAAAAGTTACTGGAAGAAATTAATATGGCTAAAAAGGCCAACAAGACCCCTGCTCCTGAAAGTTACATTATCGGATTTTAAAGAATGTAGCTACACAGATAGTAGATGCACTGGCAGTAAGCTAAGAAATCCCAAGATTCTGGAAAAACCCTAGAAGACTGGAAAACTATGAATGTAATACTCTTATTCAAAATCGGAGATTAAATAAAACTCAACTTTTTAGGTGAACATCTGCCTACATCTGTCTGTCTATTTAAATGACAGAAATAGCAGAGCATTTAGAAATAGAAAATACAATCCAGCAAAGTCAGCAGAGTCAAAGAGGAAAATCACACCTGACAAATTTGTTACAGCTCTTTGAAAAGGATAAGTAGTAGGATAAAGGGAAACAAATACATCAAGTATTTGTATTTCCAAATGTGTGAAGGTATTGCACACAAGACGATTTAACATGTGAGTTTATAGTGTTTCGGGTTGCGGGGTGGGGGGGGGGGCAGTGGTGGTGGTGTAAATGTTAGTGGAAAGAGAATTAGCTAACTAATACAAAATGAAATCAGGGTAAGTATTTTCAGGATGGCAAATCTGTAACAAGCGATGGGCCACAGATATAAGTGCTGCTGCCATAATTATTTACAGGATTAATGATTTAGAGATGACACAAACAGATAGGAAAGCAACTGGGAAAGTCCACTGAGGGAGACAGTCAGGTTAAATAAGTGGACAAACAAGTTAGCAGATGGAATATAGTGTGGGAAATTATGCACTTTAAAATGAAATAGAAGAGGAGGGGAAATATTGCAGAAAATTACAGCGCAAAGGATTTTGGGGTCACTCTGCATGAATCACAAAGGGAAGACAATAAAATGTAATTTATTTCGAAGGCAATAGCGTATAAAAATAAAGAATTCTTGACAAAACTGTTCAAAGGCACTAGTCACATCTCAATTGAAGACCGCAAACCGTTCTGGTCCCCTGATCGAAGGGAACTTATACTGGCATTAGAGACAGTCCAGAGAAGCTCACAAGGTTGATCAAAGGTATGTAAGAATTTTATGAGGAGAGTTTGAGTAGGCTGGATTTTCACTCATTTGAATATAGAAGAATGAGAGGCAACCTTATTGAAATGCAAGATTTTTAAGAGGTTTGACAGGGTGGATGTAGAGAAGTTGTTTCTGTATTGCGAGTGTGTCTAGGATCAGAGGACACAAACTCACTACGGGCTTATCCATTTCCTCTGACTGCTGTTATGTTTGTGGTATTCCTCACCACAAAGGTCTATCAAGGTTAGGTCATTAGAAATATTCAAGACTGCCACAGTTTTAAAATTGGTAAGGGAACTTAAGGACGTGGGTAAAAGGAGGAAAGTGAAGTTGTGGATTAACAGAGTAGCCATGATCTCACTGAATGGAAGAGCAGACTCAACAGGCCAAAACGGCCTACTTCTGCTATTACTTCTTATAGTCTTGTTAAGCTTTGTCACACTTGCCTCTTGCTAAGAGACTCCGTGAAATCCAACGCATATACATGACATCACTACCCATTTAACACTAGAAAACATTGGAAGCTGGTGCATTACTTACTGCCCAACTTTCTGAAAATTTAAACTTTACAAGCGTGAAGTACTACATCTTCAGAACATGATTGGAGATTTCTTCAATTTTACGTTTTGTTTCATTTCTCAAGCTGATCTTATTTTCCATGATTTCTCTGTATGTTGAACATTCTGTTGAGACATGTTCATGCTTGCCCTGTTCACACACCACATCCCCTGTAAATAAAGCCCCATTGAACAAGATGCCTGTAAAGTTTGCAAATGTTGTGAATGGCAAATGCAAACCGGACAATCCAAATCATTAAGCTTGATTAAAATACATTTAATGTTTCTGCTATCAAAAATATATCTTTCCCTATTGCATTTTACCTGAATTAAGATGGATGATTTCAGATGATATTTACAGAACATACTGCCCACACCGACATGTTACAGTTGGGGTGGTACTGACAGCAACAAGAGGAGTCAAAGTGGTTTTAAGCAATAATAATGTCCAGATAGACATTAAAGGGACTAACAGAATTTATAGGCTTAATCAAAAATCTTCAGATTCTTCAGCAATACACAGCTGCACACAAATTACAGATGAAGTAACATTGGCTGTTTAGTCTAAAAGCAGAAAGCATACATGTTTTTACACAAAACCATAGAAATTTATTTGAAACTCCTCCGACATAATATACACCACAGAATACGTAGGAAATTAAAGAGCTCTCTTTAATAATAAAAAAAAGGAGCTCATACAGGACAAACTAACCACTCCAAATTTCGGTATGGAGTAAGACACTACGGAATTGTACAGCAGTTGTTATACACTAATGGAAGGACAAACACCCAACAGGATTTTATTGTTGCAACCAATATCCCAACCAAAATTAAAAACTGTGGAGAACAGGTGGTCACAGAAGTCTACAAAAAATTGCTAAAGGATAGGCAAGGAAGTATTCAGTAACATTCCAACTGAAAGCTTTAAAAGGGTCATTCAACAAATACTAATAACTACCATCACAAACCACCCCCAGTAAGAAATATTCCTCAGTGAGGTGATAGTATGTTACTTTGTTAATTAACTCACTTAAAATGTGATCAGCATCTGACAGCTAATGCAATTAAAAATAGCAAGGCTTGCATCAGTAGTGCTACAACTCTTCAGGCTTTTGGGCCCACGGAAGAGTCTGAAATAAGACATTAATTAAATATTTGGTTGCTATGTTGGATGTTTTATTCATGATCATAACTGACATTCACTTCAATTCCTAGACAGCTTCACCCAATAGTTATTCAATTCTTGGATTTAGCTGAATCATGAATATTTGCATGGCTTTTCAAAATCCATAACTTTGAAATTCATTCACCAAAACTTGAAACCAAACCATTGACACACTGAACTCATTCTTCAAGGTTACTTAATGGCAATAATTTATCTCCAAGTGTCAACTCTAAGTTCACTTTACTGTTATGTTATACATTAATTATTTGTATCTAGAGAGCAAACAATAACATTTTTCAATTTGGAGTATTCCAAGCTGAACCACTTGTGTCTCAAAATGTAAAAGAGTCCAGTTTGGAAACAGAAACTGGTCACGCAAGGCATGAAAGACATTTTAAATAGTGGGTTTAGTATTAAACAAACCTAGCTTTTCTATATAAAAATGTTTCAGAGTACCTGTCGTTTTGCTTTCTCCACCACTTAAATGACCCCTGCCCCTGTTGTTTCTGAACATCTGGAAAATATTCTTCACACTTGTTCCCCTTATTAATTGATGATCCCAGACTTACTCTGTTGATGTTACAAGGAGAAAATATTAACAACACATTCAAATTTAACAAGCCATTTAAGATTAAGTCATTGGGTCTGTAATTTGTATCATAGTAATACTAATGATCTTCCTCTGTCACAGTTTCCACTGTGGGGGGCAGCAAGCAGAATTCATGATATCTGGAAATGGCTTATTTTCAGAATCTTGTACTTAGAAGAAGTATGCTCAAGCCATTTCAGCACAAATATATGGAACCAATATGTTCACTTCCCATGTTCAACGAGAAAAATCTTATTGCATAGTCTAGCAATCTGTTTTACTGTTTAGGTATATTGCTACAGTAAGGAGCATCAAAAAACATTACAAGCGTCATTGAAATTTGGGGATATGAAACAATCAGAGAGGATAGGAAACATAATACACCTCTGTTGTAAACAGCAGTCCCAGGAATTTAATTTTCTACACAAAACTACAACATGGTGCAATACAGAACTTAAAGGCCTAATCTATACTTCAGTTATAAAATTTATACTTTTACGACTTCCTCCCTCATTGCAAGAGAAGTTAGGTTTATTTCATTCTACTAGGGTGACAGTGATGTGTCTAATTTTCCCTTCCATTTCCAAATTTAAGTGTTACACTGGTGTAGAATATTTTTTGGGGAAGAGAGAGTTCTCAATTTAAATTGTACAAAGGAATTTGGCAAAATAAAAAAAAAACTTAGCATCTCAACGAAAGTATTCTTCCTATCAATTTTGGAAATGTGAAATAGAAGGCTAGCGCTCAACAAGTGCATCAAAATTAATTAATATTCTTGACAAACTACAAAGTCTTTCAAGAATAAATTCATTTTTGATTGTTCCATTAAACTTCAAAAAGGTAGTTGTTTGGTTAGACACCTTTCCTCAGTGTTTCAGGTTCTAAAAAAGCCTACAATTTTCCAGCACACGAAGTAGTTCTCTTAAAAAGTGCACTATCAACTACCCACACCAACCCCCCAAATCTAAACATTTGTGTGCAAAGAAGGCTTTGTTCATCATAATAACAAATGGTTGTACGACTGCCATAACTGTTTATTCCTATTCAGCAACACTGTCCCTACTTCCAAACCAGAACAGAGTACGGAACTATAAAATTGAACCCCCATTAAAAGAAAAAAAAAAACTTAAGATTGTAAAGAAGTTTGGTGTATACACACTAAAAATATATTTAAATATATGTCCCATATTGGCCAACATTTTCCTTTGTGAAGTAGGTTATCCAGTTCAAACACATGACCAACATTTGCACATCTTCATAATTTCTTGTTACCACTATTATACCCCACAATTTACATATTACAACACAAGCAGCAGCTGCTCAAAGCAACACAATGTTAAAATTTGTGTACAGCAAGCGTCAGTTAAAAATGCAAACTGCAGTGGATGATGAGGGTATGGGTGGACTTCATTTGCTGTTTTATGTGACAGTTATAAATCTTTTCAACTTCATAGGCAAATTTTAAAACCATTACGATATATACATCTGTGCATTGAACCCGCAACAGACTTGACATCATTGTGTACATATGTATATATATTTGATATGAATTTGGATTTATTGAAGTTCTCCACATTTACTCATCTTCAGCTGAGCATTTTCCCGCACTTCATCGAAGGTGTAACTCTTGATAACTTTGCCATTCTTGAAAACTGTATGCAGAAGATCCTGTAAAAAGATGTAAAATTTAAATGCAACTGTAAAAGATTTAATGGGAAGAAAAAAGTTGCTGTTCTAAATCATGGATTAAAGTTAAGAAAGACAGATACATACGCAAGCAGGTAATATACAACTTAAAGAATCTTAAATGCCTGAGAAAATTGTAGATCCAAGTCCCATTCCAGAACTTGAGCACAAAAAGTGAAGGTTGACAATGCAATACTGACCAAGTGCTGAGATGATGCCATTTATCAGATAAGACATTAAACTGAAGCCCTGCCTGCTTTCTCAGGTGAATGCAAAAGATTTCATGACAACTACGGTATTTCAAAGAGTAGGTAGTTTATGTCTGCAATTCCAGACAATACTTATCCTCAATTAACATTAGGAAGTTAGATTATCTAGTCATTGTACTATCTACAAGATGCAATGCAGAAATTCAAAGATCCTCAGACAGCACCTTCCAAACCCATAATCATTCCATCTAGAAGGATAAGGGCAGCAGATACATGGAACACCATCTGCAAGTTCCCCTCCAAGCCACTCACCATCTTGACTTCGAAATATATTTCCATTCCTTCACTGTTGCTGGGTCAAAAACCTGGAATTCCCTCCCAAAGGGCATTGTGGATTAACCCACAGCAGGTGGACTGCAGCGATTCAAAAAGGTATCTCACCACCTTCTTCTCAAGGGCAACGAAGGACAGACGATAAATGTGACATCTGCATCCCACAAATGAATTCTTAAAAATTCTGTACATGGGAACCTTCATTGTGCCTGCTGGCTGCCACGTCTTACATTGTTACAGTTATTCCACTTTAAAGTACTTTATTGTCTGAAAATGCTCTGGCATTTCCAATCAATCAATCAATCCCTTTTCCTTTATTAGAGAATATAGTAGTTCAAAACAGATGTTAGGAATAAGATGGCAAGAGAACAGGAACTAAGATTGCATGAAGGACAATGCTTTTGTATCAATGGACAGCACAATATGGATTTGTTTCATTAAAAATGCGTCAATGATTAGAACAGCCAGTCTAGATATACAGCAGAACCAGTCAGTCCTACTTTTCACGAAGTGGCTTGACTCAAATCATATTGCAGGCAGGTTGTATTGTCGACATTTTATCTGATATATCATGTGCTCTCAGTTACAACTGAAAGCTTGAAGTTGAGTAATTGTGTATTTAAAATGATCTTATTTAAATACAGAATATTTCATACTTCAGTTGGACAAAAGCAGAGGCAGAGACAGGGAGAATACAACAGTTAGGGAGATAAGGAGATGGATGATAGTCTGCCAGCGAGAAAGAAAAGCTATTAATGGGACCATAAGTCGGTTGAGCATACATTTTCATCTACTTATGGTCCCATTAACAGCTATTCTTTCTATCTGGCAGACTATCATCCATCCCATTGTCTCCCCAGTTATCACATGCTCTCCCTGTCCCCAGTTCCACCTATTCACTTGCCTCAACACCCTGTCTTCAGCATATATACCAACCTCTTGCTAATCAGTTCTGAAAACGGGCTGCTGAAATCAAAATGTTAACTCTGCTTTCTCTCCACAGATGCTGTCATACCTGCTGAGTTTCTCCAGAAATGTGTTTTTGTTTGAGATTTCCAGCAACCACAGTTCTTGTTTTATCGATTTGGACAGAAACAGTGAGCTGATCTTTCTGACATTGCACTGCTCTTGTTCTATGTTCTTATTTCACACCTTCCCCATCTTTTCCCAGAAAACTGAGTTTTAACTCAGCAATTTACAAAGCTCGTCTTGCTGCTTTTTTTGCAAGATACTGTCCGAGAAACAATTTTCCTTTACTATTCTGGAATCAGTTAAAGAATATACATCCTTAGTATAGCAATTGCTAGCTAATTCTGTCTATTTCCCCCCTCAGTTAATAATGCCATGTGCCAGTAACACCCATCGTGTGCCTATACTCAACGAATTTAGCAAAATAACTCAGCCAATGTAAATATCACATGTTCTTTTAAACCTGCTCTTTTCATCACCACCCTCAAACTGTTTTTCTAACCACATTCCCTGCTGCATCAGTTGCAGCAAGTCTTGTGTTCCTCACAATGCCTACTGCATATTCACACTTGCATGCACTTAACATTACCTTCATGCTTAGTGTTCAAGAGAAATGCTATTGTATTTATATTGCCATTTTGTTTACATATTCTGCAGAGGAAAATCAATGACGTTTGACAGAAAAACTCTGATACAGTTCAAGGTTCAGACATATACTTTAAAACAAGAATTCTGGTACAGTACTGGACTGGGAAATATTAAGAACTGCCGATGCTGGAGTAAGAGATTACACAGTGTGGAGCTGGAGGAACACAGAAGGCC